TTTTCTCATAGACTTCTATACAACCAGAGGAGTCGCCCCCCTGGTGGACATTAGAGATAATGCAGCTCCAGAGGTTGGAGCTCAGCCACATCTGGCAATTCAGAAAATGCTAATATGAGTGCTTCCAGGAACGCTTTATCTTTCCCTTTATAAATGTTCAGGACTTGTTGCAAATGTCAACACATGTCAACAAATGCACCACATTTATCCAAAGCTCTTCAAAGCTCTCATTCACACACAAAGAAGGCATCAGAGCACCAGCGCTGTGATTACTGCACCACCTGTTCATGAAGCCCGATGACAACACCTTTCTGTCTCCCAGCTCCCTTCATCTACACAACCACGTTTCACTTCAACAGAACAGAGTTTCTCTTTCTATTGTTAATATAATATATTATCTTTAGTCATTGAGTGAGAGAGACATAAACACAGACAGACAGACAGACAGAGAGAGAGAGAGAGAGAGAGAGAGAGAGAGAGACAGACAGACAGAGAGAGAGAGACAGACAGACAGACAGACAGAGAGACACACACACAGACAGACACACAGACAGACACACACACAGACACACAGACAGACACACACACAGACACACAGACAGACAGAGAGACAGACAGACAGACAGACAGACAGAGAGACACACACACAGACAGACAAACAGACAGACACACACACAGACACACACACAGACACACACACAGACACACACACAGACAGACAGACAGACAGACAGACAGACAGACAGACAGACAGAGAGAGAGAGACAGACACACAGACAGACACACACACAGACACACAGACAGACAGAGAGACAGAGAGACACACAGACAGACAGACAGACAGAGAGAGAGAGACAGACACACAGACAGACAGACAGACAGACAGAGAGACACACACACAGACAGACAGACAGACAGAGAGAGAGAGACAGACACACAGACAGACACACAGACAGACACACACACAGACACACAGACAGACACACACACAGACACACAGACAGACACACACACAGACACACAGACAGACACACAGACAGACAGAGAGACAGACAGAGAGAGAGAGACAGACAGACAGACAGACAGAGAGACACACACACAGACAGACAGAGAGACAGAGAGAGAGAGACAGACACACACACAGACACACAGACAGACACACACACAGACACACAGACAGACAGAGAGACAGACAGACAGACAGACAGACAGAGAGACACACACACAGACAGACAAACAGACAGACACACACACAGACACACACACAGACACACAGACAGACACACACACAGACAGAGAGACAGACAGACAGACAGCAGGGAGAAGATAGACGGAGAGCGAGACGGATCCGTGACCTTTTCTAACATTCAGTTTAGAGATCAGAGACATCAAAATGGATTTTTCTTCCTCAGTGTGTAACTCCCTCTGTCTCACACACACACACACACACACACACACACATATTTCAAACAAGCAGTGTTCAATAATAGCAGAGCAGCATTACTCAGTTAGTAACCACCTGTAGCTACTGTATATGATCAAAGGACAGAGAGAATTTCTTTTGACTCCAGTGGGAATCGAACCTGCAACTCTGAGCGAGCGTACCTCGTACTCAGGTCCTGCATCATCCCCACTTAACGTTCATCAGAATGGCCCCACAGCCACCATGTTTTTAATAGCGACTCACGGCCGTGTGACTCACCGTCTGCAGCAGCTGAGACCCGTTTGATCTCGTAGAGAACTCTGCTCTCTGAAGGAGCGTTAACTCTGAGCAGAAACATGCATCCTGGAGTCTGCAAGACTTTATAGTTTAGTGCATTCAATATTTGTGATTTAACCTCCAACCTAAGTAAAGGACAGCTCACAGACCGAGTTATGAGGATTTATATGAGGTCACTGAGCTCAGGAAATAAATGACGGGATCTTAATTAGGAAATATTGACTTGGGTTGAAAAGCATGTTTACTATAAACAAGCTGTAAAAACTGTGATAACCGTCAGAGTTTCATCTTCACGACGGTCCTTGAACACATCGTGTGTGACGAAGGCGACTGTTATAAAGAGCGATCGAATCGGAGCTTAGAATAGTGATATTTTACTAAAACCTTTTCATTCTACGTGCCTCATTTAAGATCTCGTCTCAAACTGTTTGATTTAACCAGATTCTGTTAAAAACATTAGATTCTGAGCTTCTCAGTGCGACTATGTTTTCCAACTTTTGTAAAATAAATTATCAAAGAAATCCCTCTTGCGTTTTGTTTTATGATTGATGTCATTGTAACTGTGTTGTTCTGCACTAAAGACACGTTCTAGTTCTCTCTACTTCTACTCATGATGGTTCTGTTTCATAGAGGAGCAGAACTTTATGTTACAGAGAAGATCAAGACCTCAGAGAGGAACATGTGACGGGAGACTGCTTTGGGTTCGTTGATGGTTCAAATTCAAGTTTGATTGTGTTTATTAATAGCAGCTAAATATCTTCACGTCTGTGGCTAATAACCAGCTTTCAGAGTGTATCTGATGTGTTGTGTTTACGCCACTAAAGCCGTCCTTGTGGTTCTTGAAACACCACCTGAGCTGTGTTCACTTACACCTCCTTCTCAGTTGAAATCGTGCGACCTCAGTAAATCCAGCAGAATACAGAATCGACTCGTTAGTAAGTTTCCTTCTGGATTTCTAGATTTCATTCTGAAACACCTCCAGAGGTGAAGCCACCGAGCAGCGAAACACAGGAGCGTCCTTTTCTTTGTGTCTCACCTTGAAGACAAACATCTCCCGTCTGAAGAAGGCCACGGTGTTGAAGTTGCCGTCGCAGATGTTGGGTTTGCCGTTTCCAGGCAGCGCCGGGCGGTCGCCGGGCGGGCGCGCCGGACGGGAGTGGCGGTCGTGCTTTCGTTCGGAGGTGGAGTGTGTCCTCCGAGAAGGTAAGGTGGGCAGCGGCCTGGTGGGCTCCAGCATGGCTGTGGGGATGCCTGGTGAGGAGCATCGATTTATCATGTTTATCATACAGCACAGGGTTATTGGGACACATTTTAGTTCAGCAGCATCACCGAGAAGATCAACATCTGGTTTCATGGCTCGTTCCTTCGCAGAAAGAAGCTATATACAAATACATCAATCCTCCACAATGTTCCAACTCTGTAGGTTGAAGAACAACAATATTCATGAGTCACTTTGAGATCCGACCCTTCACTGACTGCTAGCGAGGCTAAAGGGATCAACTCCCAGCAGAGGCAATAACAACGGGCTTTGTTATCCACACTGAACACAAGTGAAGTGGGAGAAAAGTGCTGCCTGCCAGTACTTCCTCTCCAACACCGAATCAAAATGTCACCTTTGAATCGTGACCTTTAATGTGAAGATCGTTGTTTTGTTCTGAAGGAAACAGATCATCTTCCTGCTTTGAAGCCTGAAAACCAACGTGAGTAACAATCCAGTTACATGTTACAGGTACTGTAGCTTATCTTTTATATGTGGAGCATTATTTCATGTATTCTTCACTGACACGTGTTTCTTTTTCCTGCTTCTTCGTGTCTTTATCTTCTTTAGCTCGGGCCCTATTTGTAGGCCTCTGCTCGAAAATAGCATACCCATACTAAAGTGACCATAGTTCTGTAACTACAAGGTCTATTTTAATAATTTTTGTTGACATAATCAGATCACAACACTTGTGAGATTGTTCAGATGGGTAATATTGTGTGTATGTTGCTGGTTAATATAGTAATGAAGACATTACACCGCTCAAATTGAAAATAATCAGGTTCGCCTGAAAAAAAAGCAGTTTTATTGATATAAGGTTGTTGAAATAATGCAGATATCTCCCTAAAAACTCTCCAAAATCATAGCACAACCGATCAGTAGTTGCTGAATAAAGGTTAAAAAAAAGTGGGATAAAGTGAAGAATAAGAGGCTTTAGTAGAGAGCGGTCAAGCGAGGTCATCATTTTCGAACCAGCTGTTGCAGCTCTTACATTGTACTTTTATATACTATATAACTATATATTTCTCTTTTTTATCACTCATATTATTCAATACATCCAAATACAGATGTTAGGAATCATTTTGAGATTCCTGACATCATCAGAGCCTGTTTCTGGCTGTCATATATAGGATTTTCTCAGTTCATGTGTGTGTATGGGGCTGTATCTCAGCCTATCATCGGTCGATTTCAGTCAATAAGCCCTCCTTCGACGCGTCAGAGTCTCAGGAAGGCGGTTGTCGAATTTGGTGTTGATTGACATAAGTTTCAACCAGTAAAGTTGCAAGAAGTGCCGCGTCTCCCTGGGCGTAAATTTTAGCTCGCCGGAAGTTTGACCGCTCGCCCATGCTGGATTGACCGCTCTTATTCTGGAAACAGCTCGGAAGTAAACAGGATGCAGTTGGCAACAATGACTCCAGCTTTGAAACGGATAATCTACGACGTTATTGTACTCATTTTTCATAAAACTTGGCCACATACCTACGATTTTTTTCGGCGGAGGGCAGTACGAAGGTACGTTTGACCACTCACAGCTGTCCAGTGCTCCCACGGAGCGGAAAACCGAAGTTATTTACGCGTTTGGCCACGAGTGCTAATGCTATTAAGTGCATTGCAAAGCTAGGTAGCCGCTAGCATCAGGGTGCAAATATTGATTTGCGGTACTCATAACGGCGATTTCTGGCCAGGATTTCATGCTTTTATGCCACGTTTTCTAGATGCTTATATTAGTAGTCTATAGTTGTGTTTGGAGCGTGTAAGAAGTGACTTATATGATAGTGTTGCCCATACGTTGCTGTTTGATCCGGAAAAAAAACTACCAATCCACAATATTACCGAAGATTAAGGCTATTTTCCGGGCTCAGAACCATGTTCTTTGGGGGCGTCGTGTGCAAGAGGTACACGTAACACTACATTACAGCAGAAAGATGTCCTGATTATTTCAGAGAGAGTCTGACAGCGTCGCTCTTCTTGGTTTACTTGAAAGAAAAAAGAAAAGAATGAAGTGAAATCTTCTCGTCTCTGGTGCAAAGACACACTGATGTTTCTCTTCTCTTTCCAGGCGAAGACTGACCGGCAGTGAACACGGTTTATCAGCCGGATCCTGCTTCACTTTGAATTTGCGAAAGACGCAATGAATCAGTCGCTTTTTTATCCACTGGCTGTGAAGGAAGCAGGTACGTGTTCGATCTCAATCAAACAGTGCACACGGGGGTCAAAGGTTAACAGGTTGATCTGTCACCGTCTCTGCAACGCTGAGTCTACGGGGAAAATCACGACTCACCGAACATGTGACGGAAACTAGCACAAAGAAAACCAGATGCAGCTACAACGACCACGAGGAAACTGCTTCTAACTGGCGGCCAGAGAGAGAGAGAGAGAGAGAGAGAGAGAGAGAGAGAGAGAGAGA